ATAGATAGCAATCAGTGACTGGCACATGCTAGACCACACCCCATAGCCCTGGGGATAGATAGCAATCAGTCACTGGCACATGCTAGACCACACCCCATAGCCCTGGGGATAGATAGCAATCAGTCACTGGCACATGCTAGACCACACCCCATAGCCCTGGGGATAGATAGCAATCAGTCACTGGCACATGTGACACATTACATCTCCCTGCTAACGTACCTGTTTATGTCATCATCCCTTGCAATATGCATTCCACACTGAAGACAAACTTTCCTAACTGCAGGAGAGAATTTTTGTAATGAAGGAACATTGCACTGGTATAAGATAATTCCAAATTTCTTAAATACTGTAAATCCCCTGATTAAGTAAAACTTTTTCAGTCTTGACAGTGGGATATAAATAAACTGCATTTTGTTTAGCCTGTTTTCTTGACGTTGATATTAATCCATCACCTTACATGTAGCCATACCCTCCCCCTCTAGGAGAAACGAATCCCTCCCTTTTGTTTCTCCTGGGGAGGGGGGGGGAAGTATACAGCTACACATACATATGCTAAAGTTCTCCGTGATATTTTCTTTACTTCTGTCAGTGGCCATCATGATTACCTTACTTGTGATAACAATAATGAAAAGAAGTGTTCTTTACGTGATTTTGTTGTTGTAACAGATGAAAACTGTCCATTTTACAATTGTGGAAGGCACCTTAATTAGTACTTTTAATACTTGAGGTTGTAGGGGGAGTGGATAGCTTAATAAAGAGATTACAACAATTTAACGTTATCACATATCATGTACATGTTCATATGCACGTGCCTGGAAGAATACATGTTTTTTCAAGAAAAAAGAACGAAATTGTTCTACATGCACATGCATACAGATCGAAATGAATACCGAAAAGTTTGTAATCCTCCAGCACCTAGCAATTTTGTGTCTACAAGCTTTTTTTTATTGGGTGTTAATTATGAATAAGCCGACACTTCAACGGTCTATTGTGGTTGTATACAGTACTGTTGATATTTGAAACACCAAAAGTGTTGATTATCAACACACGTACAGTACGTGGACGCGTGACTGCGATGTAAGCAGATTGGCAACATAACGCTGAATTTTGCAGTGATC